CCAGTTTGGCTCAGTGGCTAGAGCATCAGCCTGCAGACTGAAGGATTCTGGATTCGATTTTGGTCAAGGGCACATGCCCTGGTTGTGGGCTCCATCCCCAGTAGCAGGCGTGCAGGAGGCAGCCAGGCAATGATTCTCTCTCATCGTGGGTGTTTCTATCTCTCCTCTCCCTTCCTCTCTGAAATCAATAAAAATAAATTTTATTAAAACCCACAAGACTATAACCATGTAAATGACAAGGCATGCATTCCATCAGAACTTCCTCTCCTCCAGCATAGAGAAGTCTGCACCTGCTGCAGATGAGACTGTGTAGCCCCGTCTTGACCACACAACACGCGTGTACATTGAACACGGTCCGCGCTGGGAGCTCACATTTAGAAATTTCTCCAGGGGAACTTTTATTTGGGGAGACAGCACTGCACAGTGTTAAATATTATAAATTAAAGAGACACACAGACCAGCCTCTTCGTTTGTAATGTGGATGATGGTGTGGATTAAATGCAAAAACACACATACAGTATTTAGCATAGTTGGCAAATAGTAAGTGCTCAATAAATGTTAATTGTCAATAACAAACTGAGACTAGCGCCGTGCCCTCAGAATCCGCCACACCGCCTGGCATATATGAGGGCCGCAGTACGTGTGCTCTGCATGAGACTCTACCCAGGGGTCAAGGAGCATGAGGACACCAGCCACAAAGTCCTTTGCCCAAGGTCACCTGCCACCTCCACGCAGAGCTATCAGTCTTACGGTGTGCGTTTCCCTTTAAGTCCTTTCCCCTAAGTGTTCGGATTGTACCTGACTGAGCATAAGTCTGGGGGAGAAAGATTCAATCAAAGTTTCAAGTCTGACTCCTATTCCAGCAGAGATGGTGAGTGTCTGCCTCTGCTTTCCCTGGGCCTGTGACAATCTCAGCAAATAGGCTTTTAAATTAAGTAGTGATTTGGAATGTAAGTGAGTGCATTTAAGACGATAAGGGACAGAGAGATCCTAATGGCTGAAATATTTGTCATATCACAAGTAAACGGAGTGTTTCGGGGAGTCACTAATATAACTAATTTCGTCCAAATCCTCCTCCGCTCTGTGCGAGGAGATGAGGTCAGCGCGGGGTCAGCCAGCCCTGGGGAGCAGCTCCCCGGGGACTGCAGAGAATACTGATGGACGGCCGAGGCGCCCCGACTGTTTTCCTCGGGAAACCAGAGCCCAGTTGTTCAAATTAAGCTGTGGCTGCCCAGCAACCGGAGGCGGGTTACCTGCTGCAAATGGAAAGGCGGAGGAACGCGTGCAGCCCAGACAGTGTTTCCCCGGGCAGCGGAGAGCGCCGTGGCTGCGCTGGGCCCGGTGCGGTGGGTCTGGAGAGAAGCCCGAAATAATCGAAGGCAACTCCCTCCTCCGCACACCCACCCCCAGTCTTTTTCTTTTTTTTTTCTTTTTTTCTTTCAGAGAGGAAGAGAGATTGAAACATCGATGGTGAGAGAGAATCATTAAGCGGCTGCCTCCTGCACGTCCCTGACTGGGGATCAAGCCTGCAACCCAGGCATGTGCCCCGACAGGGAACCTGAACCATGACCTCCTGGTTCTAAGGTTGATGCTCAACCACTGAGCCACGCCGGGTGGGCCCACCTTTTTTTTTTATTGATTTTTCACAGAAAAGAAGAGCGAGGGATACTTAGAAACATTGATGAGAGAGAAACATCGATCAGTTGCCCCCTGCACACCCCCCACTGGGGATGCACCCGCAACCAAGGCACATGCCCCTGACCAGAATTGAACCTGGGACCCCTCAGTCCACAGGCCGACACTCTATCCACTGAGCCAAACCCGTTAGGGCGAGAGCTTTTAACTTCAGTGGCGAATAAAAATAACAGAATTTCATGAGGTAGATCATGAACTAGACATTAGCACTGGGAGTTGGTCGGCAATAGTGCTAGGCCCTGCATCGGTGTGGCAGTGAGCAAACACTTGAGTAGAAGTCACTGTCCTAGACTCTAGGCTGGGCACTGCTTCTGGTTAAAAACAGCATAGAGCCGAAACCGGTTTGGCTCAGTGGATAGAGCGTCGGCCTGCGGACTGAGGGGTCCCAGGTTCGATTCCGGTCAAGGGCATGTACCTGGGTTGCGGGCACATCCCCAATAGGAGATGTGCAGGAGGCAGCTGATCGATGTTTCTCTCTCATCAATGTTTCTAACTATCTCTCTCCCTTCCTCTCTGTAAAAAATCAATAAAATATATTAAAAAAAATAAAAAATAAAAACAGCATAGAGAAAACAATTCAAAGTAGAAACTCAAGCCAGAAGTCTCTGTCCAAATTTCAGCTCTGCACGTACTACCTGTGTGACATTGGGCAAGTTACTTAACCTCACTGCATCTCAGCTTCCTACTCTAGGAAAGGGGGAATAATAACAGTACCTACCTGAGAATGTTTTTATGACATTTAAGTGAGCTAATATTTATCACAGTGTTCAGAATAGTGTCTCACATACAGGGAATGCTATGTACAAGGGTTAAGTGAAATAGCATACTTTTTATGAGCCAGTTAATTTTCTGGACTTTGGTAAAATAACGGGATGCAAATAAATGATTTCTAAACATACTTTCAGGCCTATAAATTCTGTAATTCCAAATGTTTAGCAATGAAGACTCAAGGATCCTGGGTTCGATTCTGGTCAAGGGCACATACCTGGGTTGTGCGCTTGATCCCCAATAGGAGGCCTGTAGGAAGCAGCTGATCACTGATTCTCTCTCATCATTGATGTTTCTATCTCTCTCTCCCTCTCCCTTCCTCTCTGAAATCAATATAAATATATATATATATATTTTTTTAAATAGCATCATTGAAAAAACAAACAAACAGAAACCACACTAAGGGTTTCAATGGAAAGAATTTCTTGTAAGAAAGTGATTAAATAGTTATTGATAACTGCCCAAGCTAAAAGGGAAGACTGAGATAACTTCTGGAATGTTGACCCTTCTCAGGCTGGGGCATGGAGTAGGGGGAGAGGACAGGGGCCAGTGGAGCCTAAAGCCTTAGAGGAGGGGCCAGAACGCTGGACCAGCCCTCAGGGAGGGCATGAGGTTCAGCTGTTGCTGGTGTGGAAGCTGGGGGGAGCTTCGTGGAGCTTCAGAGCTCTGACAACGTGGCCTCACCCAGCACTGGCAGCTCGGAAGAGGCACAGTGATGTCTGTTCAGGATGTGCTGGAAAAAGCTAGAACAATGGCCACCGCCATGGAGGCCATAGCAGGGAGACGCTATCAGGAACAGCAACAGGACGGAGTCCTTACCCTCCTCCTGCTCTCTATCCTCCCTCTGATGCCCCTCCAGGGCAACTTCACAGGGACCCAGTTGGCAGGGTAGCTCAGTTGGTTAGAATGTCCTCCTGATACACCAAGGTTGCAGGTTCAATCCCAGGTCAGAGAACATACAAGAATCAATCAATGAATACATAAACAAGTGGAACAACAAATTCACGTTTCTCTCTCTCTCCCTCTCCCTCCCTCTGTCTCTGAAACCAATAAATTTTTTAAAAATCAATAAATAAAAAATAAAGGATACATACAAAGAATCCCAGCCCTAGTCGGTTTTGCTCAGTGGATAGAGCATTGGCCTGCGGACTGAAGGGTCCTGGGTTCGATTCCGGTCAAGGGCACATACCTCGGTTGCAGGCTCCTGGCCCTGATGGAGGGCATGCAGGAGGCAACCAATCGATGTGTCTCTCTCACATCAGTGTTTCTCTTTGTCTCTCCCTCTCCCTTCCACTCTCTCTAAAAATCAATGGGAAAATATCCTCAGGTGAAGATAAAAGAAAAAAAAAATCCCAGACCAAACACCAAAAAGCAGAGTCTAAAGGAATGGGTTTGGAGCTAGAGACAATAACTCAATAACTGGCATAATGGCCGCCAAATTATTTTATGCCACTTCAATTCAGCTACGGATGCCAGTTCTGATCTACAGACCAATTCGGAATATATCCACACTCTTCGATGATTCAAAAACAGCTATCCTACCCTGCTTTCCTTTCCCACCTAACAGAGCCTTCTGTGGATTTCTTCACCGTGGGCTCCTTAGAACAGGAAGTCTGAGGCTCATTCCACCCTCTGGAGTCCGCATCACTCCGCGAACATGCCAGGGGCTTCCTCAGCACTGATGTGAATAGACAGATGGCTCTAAATGTAAGGAATCGTCTTTGTGTTGAGTTCAAATCAGCCTGCCTAAAGCAAGTGGCCTATCCAGTTCAGCAAATTACCTCACCCATTCCTTGACATAACAGTTCAGGCATCCCCCCTCACCTACCCCCTCCCACATACTCTCACCCCCAGAGAACTCTCAATCCCTCACTCAAAGGAGTAAGTGAAACCTTGGTACATGTTCTCAGAAGGGAATTATATTTTAAATCAAGCATGTCAAACTCGTGGCCCTCGGGCTGCATGCAGCCAACAGTGAATATTTTTGCGGCCCAACCAATATAACGGTATGTAAGAAACGTTTTAATAAAAATTTCAGAACTTAATATCCTGTTATACATAATTATTAACGAACTACAACATTCGCTAATGAAATATTAATTTTTATTAAAATGTCCTATTATTTCATGTAAACAATGACTTGTTTATTTCAGCTCTTTGTATTCAGCATGTCTCTATCGTAATAAACCTATGTTTCTATGAAAATTGAAGCTCTTGGGGGTTTTTTGCGGCCCACAGAAACTTACACCTTGTTTATTTGGCCCATGTTAGCCTTTGAGTTTGACATGCTTGTTGTAAATCAAAGCATTTTTCAGAAGGAAAACTTGTTGAGGTTTGCACAGCCGGGGGAATATGGTGCCTACACCCTGAGCTCCCACTCTATTTCTTGATCCCCAGAGAGGCAAGACCGAGAGGCTATATGAAAATGAAGAAGACATGGTCCCAACCTCACTGACAAGTGGAGAAGACCGCCAGGCACACAAACTTCTCCAGAATGTTTGAAAAGTGCTACTAAAGCTGCAAATTGTATAGGGAGCACTGAGTGGGGGAGTCACCAACTTTGCCTAAGAAAGTTCTGGAGAGAAAAGATTTCAGCTGGCTTTTGAGAAATGAATATATTCCCAGGTGGAGAGGGAAAAGGAAGTCATTCTAAATCCACAGATTTTATTCTCTCTTGGCACTATCTCCATTCTTCCCAGGCTCTCTCAGATAACCTCATCTTGCAACACTTCTAACTACTGCAGATTCACTCATTTCCTTTAAGTGGTCAGGCCACACTCCTGTGTTCATTTGCACTAGTTCTCTTCCTTCATCCTGATCTCCGCTGTCAGCTTTGTTATGGGGAGGTTGCCACACTCAACAAATTTATCCTTACTGGAATCACAATACCAAACCCAATCTATGGACATTTATGAAAAACCCAAAGTTAGTATCATACTTAATGGTGAATATTAAATGCTTTTCTCCTAAGATCATAAACAAGGCATGGTTGTCCATTCTCACCATTCTATCCAACAGTTTACTGGAGATCCTAGCCAAAGCAATAAGGAAAGAAAAAGAAGTAAAAGGTGAAAAGGTGTACAGATTGGAAAGGAAGAGATAAACCATCCTTACTGACAGACAACATTATTGCTTATGGGACAAAATCTTAAGTAACTCCACAAAACCATTACTAGAATTAATAAGTGAATTGAGCAAAATTACACAATTCATGGTCAATTGTATTCATACAAAGTAGAAGCAATTAATTAGAAAATAAAATTTAAAAAACAGTACTATATACAATAGCATAAAAATGTAATTAGGCATTCGTAGACAACCTGCTTCTGGATCGGGGTTTCATATGTAGCAGAGCAGCTCCCTCGCTGCAATCTATTGAAAG